CACCTATTTTTCTTGCATCCATATTCCAGCTATGTATGGGAACATGTGCAACAAAAGTGTTGGTTTACAGGCAGGCTCTTGAGTGGGATAGAAAATTGCAGTGGATGATCATGCATTGCTCTCAGCAAAACTTTGTTTCTCAAGTAAGAAGGATCGCATTTGCAGCCACTGTGTATCACTTGTGGCGGAGCAGAAATCAACGGGTGTTTAAGAAAATATTGCATTTTCCTGAATATATAGTTCATATGATTCTTAAGGATGTTCGAGACCTAGTGATAGTATGGAAAAGGTAGATAGAAAGCAGGAAAATTTACAGTTATGCGCTGAACTTGATATTTCTTTGTTTCATTGATGACAGTTTATAGACTTGTAGTATAGATTACAAGGTTCTTTTCTTGATCTGATATATTTGACTAAGAACAATCCCTTCTATAGTGTACATTCTTCTCTGGATCAATAAAAGATTAGGAATTTACAAAAAAAAAAAAAAAGGATCAATGGGAGTCTCTCAGGGTCTGTTTGTTTCAATGTAGAATATTTTCCCTAAGAAAACATTTTCAATGAAAATTCTTTCCTGGAAAATATCTAATTTTCCCTTCATTTTCTGGTGTTTGGTGCAATTTTAAGAAAATGTTCTAAAAAAAATTAAAATCCTCCAACGATAATATCGTTCCCGGATTTCTCTTTTTTTTTTCAGAGAAAAGACTCAGTTGGTCTTTTTATTTTATTGATGAGAAAACATAAAGTCGTGTTACATACGTCTTATTTTCCGAATTGACGGTAAACCTAATTTGTCAAGGCGAATTGCCCCACGAGCTTCCCTTGGGAACATAGTAAAGCTGTCATATACCTTGACCTTTTGATGTGGGTGAGAAACACCCACATTAGACAATGCATCAGCAACTGTGTTAGCCTCTCGATAGCAGTGTGAAAAATGAACAGGCTCCTGCAGGAGCTTCCAAATCTGCCTGATCTCCCTTCGAATCGGCCACGGACATTGAGTGCGATGTTGAATGATCCCAACTAAAAGCAGCGAATCTGATTGCACACTTATATTTTCAAATCCCCTATGTTTACACGTTTGAAGACCGATAAGGAGAGCCCAAACTTCTGCACGAAGAGATGTAGTTTCTCCAAAATAAGCCGAAAAAGCAATCAGTGGTAAACCAGTTGGATCTCGAAGAACTCCTCCACCTCCACCCACTCCTGGATTACCCTTGGAGCATCCATCCGTATTAAGTATGAGCCGTCCTGTCTCCTTTGTCTCCCATCGAACAAATTTGTATGCAACCGTACCGACAGACACGTTCGATCGATCATACAAATGACAAAAAGATTGGAATCGGAACACTTGTTTGAAGTGGATCCCCACGATGGACTGAATTTCCGAGAAAATGAGATGACAAATAACAGACGATCGCATCTGAACACCCTCAAATATTGCTTTATTCCTTGCCTTCCAAATCTGCCAGCAAACTATATTAGGTAGAATGCGGTCAATAAGCTGTCGTGTCTCAGTATCATGTAACCGCAACCACCACCCTACTATGCGGGACCGCAAAGAAGACCCTGAACAGCTGAATCCACATAAACCTCCAAAATAGTTCCAAACTTCCGATGCTATTTGTCCATTGGCAAATAAATGCTCGATAGACTCTGCAGATGCCGAAGAACAACACAAGCACTTTGACGGTAAATGAAAACCAAGTTTACATAACCTATCTGGTAGCGGTAGTCTTCCTAGAAATAGTCGCAACATGAAAAATGAGACTTTCCAAGGAATTTGAGGATGCCAAATCGAAGCAAAAACCATTGACTTGTTGCGGGCCTGCCTGATGTCTTCGAAAGCCGATTGTAGAGAGAATTTACCAGATGTAGTGGGCATCCAAAAGACTTCAACTTCATTCCCTTCTTCCGGTGGTATGTGTTTCACAATGGAGGATATTTTCTCCTTTGGCATGTTAAGACCTAAGGAATTCAAATCCCAATGACCATTGATGATGAAATTGCGGAAAGTCAAATTTGGGATAACTTGTGCTTGTAGAAACAACGCACCACTTCCCAACCAGTTGTCGTACCAAAAGTGACACGACCCGTCCCATAACATTGAGAGCTCCACTTGTCGACTTACGTTGACCATCCTCCGCCAGATTGCCTAGTCCGTTGATTTGAGTTCTACCTGACAAGGATGAAGACTTTTGCAATACTTTGCTTTCAAGAACATTGCCCACAACGATGATCCTGTTCGAAAATTCCACCAAAGCTTGCATGAAAAAACGTTGTATACGTCCCATAGTCTCCGAAATCCGACTCCCCCCTCGTCAACTGGATAGCACAAATGAGACCATCGTATCCAATGGTACTTCGAGTCCGCGGGTGAGGACCCCCACAGGAAGGCTGAGCAGGTCTTTTCTATAGTTTTGAACAACTTACCCGGGAGCACTGCAGCTGACATCAGATGCAATGGCATTGATGCCAACACATGTTTGATTAAAACTATTTTGCCTCCAAAGGAAAGTAATCTTGATTTCCACGACAAAATCCTCCCTAGAATAGACTGACAAACTCCTCCATAGTATGATGATTTACATCTTCCGAAGTATAGCGGGAACCCTAAATAACGTATCGGAAATGAGTGCCAGGTAAACCTGGTGATACGTTCAATTTGCCTTCTTCTCGCCAGTGGCATCGATGGATGTACCAAATAACAGCTTTTTTGCACATTTATCAGCTGCCCCGAACACCTTTGATATGCCTCTAACACCTGCATAATAGCTTTCAGAGAAAAGGAAGAGCCATTTGCAAATATGAGAACATCATCCGCGAACGCCAAATGAGTTATAGAAGGACACCCATATGGAACTTTGAATCCCACGAATCCCGACTGCATGATTAGATTGTTTAAACCTCTAAACAACACCTCGGCCCCGATACTGAATAATGCAGGTGATAATGGGTCACCCTGACGAAGCCCTCTCGAAGATTTAAAGAAACCGTAGGAGGAGCCATTTATAATGATTGAGAACCAGACATTAGAAAGCAATCGCCATACTAGGTCAATAAATATTTCCCCGAATCCAAACTTCCTCAGAACATTAATAATATGACCCCATGACACCCGGTCATACGCCTTGGACATGTCGAGTTTCATTAAAACATTCCCACCTCTATTCTTTTTTCCCATACTCGAGACCACCTCTTGAGCTAGGAGAAAATTTTTCGTTATATTGCGGCCCTTCATAAAACCTGTCTGCTGGGGGGAAATAATTTTTGGCAATAAAACAGCCACCCTGTCCGCCAAAATCCGGGATAATAATTTATTGAAAAAATTACATAGACTGATGGGCCTAAAATGAGAAAATTCCTGAGGATTTGGCTTCTTTGGAATAAGAACAATTGAAGTAGAGGTGATGAAACGGGGCAAATCCCGCCCCACAGAAAAAACTGAGTACCGCATTGTAGACATCTTGGCCGATCACCTCCCAAGCAAATGTAAAAAATTTTCCTGTGAAACCATCTGGACCAGCAGCACTTTCTCCATCCATTAACTTGACGACTTCGTACACTTCCTTGATCGTAGGCACTGCTTCCAGCCTCTTATTATCCTCTCCCGAAACCATCGGCGGAATTAGGTGTAGCATATCGGAAGATGACTCCAAAGAACCCGTGAAGAGATTATTGAAATATTCTGTTGCCTCAGTTGATATATCATCATCCGTGTCTACCCAAACGCCGTTGGACTTTTTTATACGGTGTATCATTCCTTGAACGCGTCTCTGCCTTACTACCGCATTAAAGTACCTTGAATTTCTATCTCCATGACGAAGCCATTTTATCCTTGCCTTTTGCCTCCAAAATTGCTCTTCAATTGACATTGCATGCCGCAACTCTGCCTGTGCCTTATTGAGCTCAATCTGACACTCTTCTGAATAATCTTGATCCGCAACCTCCTCTGCTCTATGGACCGCCATTTCCGCATCACGAACAGCATCAAAAACATTCCCAAAGTGTTGCTTGTTCCATGTTTGAATAGCCCTTCTCGTGGCCAATAATTTGGAGCACAGAACGCGCAATGGAGATCCCCCTACATCATGCTTCCAAGCCTGTCGAATCACCTCCAGGAATTGTGGTTTTGTAGTCCAGACATTTAAGAAGCGGAATGGCCGAGGTTTATTATCCGATCGGGTCGCAAACGTAATCTTCAATGGTGCATGATCCGAGGGATGTCTTGCCAAGTGAAGCACAGAGATTTTGTTAGAGAGATCCAAGAAAGATCCATTGATTAAAAATCTGTCCAACCTTTTTGAAATTCGAGCTCTACCCCGCCGATTATTAGACCATGTAAAACTAGCTCCTGAGAAGCCTACATCGAAGACCTCAGCCTCCTCCATGAATGACATAAAATCTGCCCCCTCAGCTATAGCAAACGGACGGCCCCCCCCGTTTTTCATGAGGTGCCAATATTACGTTAAAATCACCCCCAATACACCAAGGAAGAAAACTAGGCTTATCGTGTAATAATGAACACCATAAATCTTTGCGTTCCTCCACTGAACACTTTGCATGAACAAAGGACATGACAATGTTACTAGGAAGCAATGGACTTTGAATATCTAGAGAGATATGCTGATCCGAACTACCAACGATAGAGCAAACAAAATGACTACTATAGAATATCCAAATATCACTTGAGCAATTAACAAACACATAATCAAAGAGTAGACGTAAGCGAATGGACTCAATTTTAGATACGTCTAATTTTGGCTCACAAATGACAACAAATTGAGGGTGATGCATCCGTATTAATTTAATCAATCTTCTTTGATTAGGAGGTTTAGCTACCCCTCTAATATTCCAAAATAATCCATTAATCATGAGAAAGAACCTGGAATGAGTTTTTGGATGATGTATCTGATCGTAACTGTCTGTCAGATGGGAAAGGAGCCCGCACACCCTTCTTCCGCATTTGTCAAAAATCACAATGAAGCTCCTCGGATTGATCAACATTTAGACAAATTTCCTGCAATATTAGGTAAATTTTCCCCATGTTGTGTGGACGATACATCTTCTACGCCGTGTAATTCAACATAGAGGTGTTGCAAATCTTTTTTGGCGGCCAGCAATTCATTTCCATCGATATCATTGTTGTTGGACAGATTATGTTGTTCAATGCTTAAAGCATTAATTTCGGCCAGCTGCTCTTGTTCATTAGTCAAAGATTTCTCCTTAAAAGGCTGGGTCCGTTCACTTTGAAGACCAAGGTGCTCCTCCAGCTGGTTTCCCATTACTGCTTGTCCCCCATGCATTGCCGCATTCTCCATGTATCCATTTACATTAGATGATTCAGGCTGGGTTTCTTCTTCAACAACAGTAGTGTGAACACCGAAGTCTTGCTGAAAATCCCCTTCCTCATCTTGCAAAACAAATCCAGAAGCCTTGTCCGTTGTACCTGGGAAATTTTTTCTTCCATCCAGCGTAGCAGTAATACGTTTTTCATGAGAAGAAACCACAGTATCTGTTGTTTCATTCGCATTACCAGCTGAGTTATTAACAGGTTGAAGAATGATAACCTGATTTCCAGTTAACTGTGAATCCTGCTGCAACTTCATGGGCTGTTGCCGAGACCCCACCTTATCCAAATTCTTTTTGCACTCCACATGAGAATGTCCTAGACGCGAGCAAATAGAACAATATGGAGGGATGTTTTCTGGCACAATACTTTGCCAGAAACCAGATTCCCCTTCGACAGCAATCCAAACTCTTGGCACTACAAGCTTCGCTACATCTATCTCCACACACACCCTGGCCACACTAGGACGAGTTCCAGCAGCTGTTGCCAAATCTAGGAACAAAGGTCTTCCTACTGGAGATAGAATGGAAAACAAAGAGTGTTTATCAAAATAATGAATAGGCAGAGGCAGAAGAGTTACCCAAACCGGTACTAGAGATGACTCTCTTTGCACATGAAATTCCCTGGTCCATCGAAACACACGCATTGGATAGGAACCCAATTACCAAATTCCTCTAGTCCAAATTCGGTTGAAATCTACTTCAGCGGAGCACTTAATAAGAACATGCCTATAATCCAATAATCCAATGGAAACTTGATCTTTGAGATTTAAAGAAGCAAAAAACTTTCGAGTATCTTCCAAGGAAGGTCGTCCGTGAGAAAATTTGCCAACCAAGGTCCATCTAAATGGCACTGCAAGTCTGTCCGCATCTACTTTGGAAAAAATAACCGCAACTTCACCCTTGTAAACTGAAGCCTGTCGAATCTGGATTGGAGAAGTAGCCGGCTGTGAAAAGAGCTGGGAAAAGGATTTTTTTGTTGTAGGAGAAAGTTTTTGCCCCTCAGCCGACGGCTGAAGGGCTGCCATGAGCGGTTACGTTCACTGGTGCAGGTTTCTAATCCTTATGGCCGAGAGAAAAAAGCGTCCCTGAGATACTCAATTGTTCATACTCATTAGATCAAGATTGTTGCCATCCGGATTTCTCTTTTACTAATTGCTACTACTAATTATCATTATCTCTACCCACCTCATCAGCCACCACAAACAATCCCCAATCCAAATCCTTTCAAGTCTCAAAAAATAAATCAAAGACCAGAACCAGGAATTTACAATCTCCCCAAGCCAGTTGAGTGCCATTGTAATAAAAAGTTTAAATTATATGCCTACCGCTGATTGAACCACTATAAGAAATTAGCAATTGAAATTTGATGTTTATGGTATTAACTCTTCTTCAAAAAATGTTCCTCCTACCTCCATTGGCTTCACTTTTTTTCCTTTTGATAAGAGTATATTTTACATATTTTTAGTGTGCTTTATTAATTAGTTTTGGTGTGTTTTATTTAGTTTTATAAATAATTAACTAAGATTCTAGTGAAAATATGCATTTTGTGGTTAAAGTGTGAAAATTGCATTTCTATGAATTTTTATGATAAAAATTTCATATTTTACAGGTTTAATGATTCAATCATCAAATGGAGATCATTGAGAAGATATTTGGATGATTGATGATGATTTAGAATGATGAAAATAAAATATGAAGTGTAAAAAGAGAAATGCAATTTGAGGACAAAAGAATCAAACAAAAGTCAGCTTTGGCATCTGTTGGTATTTCAGCTATATCTTGGGCTACATACATTGGATTGAAATGATATTTATACCATTTTGAAGCTAAGAGACGTATCTACATTTGGTATGAAGACATAAAAGTCCAATTCAGCCGTTTTCATAGTCCAAAAGTTGAAATACCGAAATTCAACTCAGCTGTCTAAATTTGAAAAGAGAGCTCTGACCAGGCTTTGGTATTTTGGTCATATCTCGGTCTAAAGAACTCCAAATTGGATGATTCTTGAGGCATTGGAAAGCTAACTCAAAGGGCTATAACTTTTATGTCATGCACAAGAGCTAGTTTGGCATTTATTATTGCAGAAATGGCATCTGAAGCATACAGAACTCAAAACATGACTGTTCAATACGCGATTTCTAGTCGCGTATTCGCTTCTGAACGCTGCAAATTACTGATCAGCTTGTCCTGCATTTACACAACATTTTTAACTCAATTCCAGCCAGAAATTCCAGCTGTATCTGATCAAGAAGAGGCTGGAAAGTTGGAAATACAACTCAAAAGGTTTCAAGAGTCAAAAATGACAACTAAAAACAACTCATTTGGCTCTTAAATTCTTCTATAAATAGCAGCCTTGGAGAACCATTTTGATAACTTGGGAAGGCTAGAGAAACTCACCAAAAATGTAGTCTTCACTAGATGTTCCCTTAGTTCATTAGTTAGGCTAGTATATTATAGTTAGTGTGTGTTTCCTTCTTGTATTTGTAGTTAGATTTGGATGAAAATTGGAAGAGCAAAGATGGAGAGTTAGAGCTCATGTGACAAGGATGACATCTCTTGTATAACTTTCTCTTTTGTATTTAATTTCATGTTTAATTATAATACAAGTTTGGATCTTATTTTCATGTCTTGCTAAAGTTTATGCCTAGAGTATCGATGAACTTTCTAAATCTTGTTTATGATCTTTACTTGGTTATTTGATGATATTATTTTGAGCAAGTTATTTATTATTTTTGCTTTTCTAATCATGATTAACCGGCCATTAATTGTGATTATCTAAAGGTGTTAAGTTTGTAGTGAGAATTGGAATTTAACACTAGTTCAAGGAAGTAATAAACATAGGGAGTACACTCACGAGAGTAGAGGTGCACCTATGTGGCTTAAGTGACTTATTTCATGTAATTTCATAGAAGAAATGAACTTGTAGTTAATTTCATAACCACGAGAGTATGTATGACTTATCTACAAGTACAATTAATTCACTACGAGAGTAGTGTTGACCTTGGTCGATCAATCCTTGGTTTTGATGATTAACAAACCAAAATGTAGATTTGGGCTAATATTTTTATGTGAGTAATTTGTTAGAACAGATTCTTGTGGCATAAAAGAAGAAGCAAAAACAGGGCACTCATGTCGGACGCTATCGGACGTCCGAAAGGATGAAGAACATCAAGAAGGAAACTCTGTCGGACGCTCGTGAGGAAGCATCGGACGTCCGGAAGGATCGGACGCACGCCTCGGACGAACATCGATCGCATCGGACGTCCGAGAAATTTCGCAAAGATTTGATGACTCTCTGCCTACGTTCGGACGCAGGGTTCGGACGTCCGACAGGTGGTTTGGACGCAGGGTTCGGACGTCCGACAGGAGGTCTCGGACGTCCGACAGGCCAACGGCTAGTTTTGACAGCATTTAATATTTGACCGTTGGAGAGCCTTTTGAAGCCATTTCTCACCTTCTATAAACACCCCAAAGCACAAGAAGACAAGTGACTTTTGCCAACACAAAATACAAGCTTACAAGTGAGATTTTTGAGTAGAAAGATTCTTTGTTGGTTGTATAAGGGGTTGGGAAAGTTGGGTTGTGAGGTTGCTCAAGTGAAAACCTTGGTGAAGGTGAACCTATCACTTGGAGTGGTAAAACCTTGGTGAAGGTTGCCTCATTTGTATAAAATAGTTCTTAATTGGGTGAGTGATCTTTCAAGTGTAGGTTGTTGAGGGTTAACTAGAATTGTTGTAAAACTCCTTGGCTCAACCAAAGAGTATTTGGGGTGAGGAAGGAGTGAACCTTCACTTGTACATCTTGGTTAGCATCGCCATCAATTGAAGAGGCTATTGGATTGATATTTGGTTTGCATTTCTTATCTTTTCTCTTTAATTAAGTTTTCTTTATTGTGCTTAAATTTGATATATCTTTGTGCATCATTGTGAAATTGTTTGTACTCATTGGGTTGCACCGGGCATTACAATTGGTATCAGAGCTTGGTCTCTTTTGATCAAGCTTAACCGCTTAGAGTAAAGATCATGGCAACCATAAAAGTTTCTTTTTTAGAAGGGCAATCTATTGATAGACCACCTATGTTTAATGGTTCTCATTTTAGCATGTGGAAACAAAGAATGATGATTTTCTTACAATCCGTTTATATTGAATTATGGTATGTGGTAGAAGATGGTCCTTATGAAGCTAGAATAGTTGACTCTACCACTAATTTGAGTAGATTAAAGACTAGACAAGAATTGAATGAAAAAGACAAGAGATACCTTTCTTTGAATGCCAAGGCCATGTGTATATTGTACAATGCATTAGATGTAAATGAATCTAGTAGGATTAAAGGTTGTAAATCAGCTAAAGATATTTGGGATAAATTGTGTGTATTTCATGAAGGTAACCAAGATATTAAAGAACAAAAGAAATCTTTGCTTGTTTCTCAATATGAATTTTTCAAAATGCATCCTCTTGAAAATGTTGATAAGATGTGTAGTAGATTTTGTGACATTATTGAAGATCTTAAATTGCTTGGAAAAGAATATTCTTTGGGTGAGAAAAATAGAAAGATTTTGAATGCCTTGCCAAAAGAATGGGAAAACAAAATAAATGCTATAGAAGAGGCAAAGGATTTAAATTCTATGTCCATTGAATCTCTTGTGGATACCCTAACCTCTTATGAATTAAAGCTGAAATTCAAAGTGCAAGAGGAAGAAAATGCAAGAATGTATAAGAGAGGCATAGCTTTTAAAGCATCTCAAGTGGGGGATAACCCATCCTTCATGGGTAATGAAATCATGGAAGTGGACAATGATACAACTCCTCACATCGAAAGTTCCAAGAAGACCTTCAACAAGAGATGCTCAAGAGGAGATTGCAAAATTACATGGGATGAATGCAATTCAAAAAGAGAAAAAGAAGAGTTGGCCCAAATGGCACTAATGGCCGTTGGAGAAGATGATGTAAGTTCTTATCACTCTTCTTGTGATGAAGATAATGAAGATGATGATGTGAAAATTCTTATGATTAAAATGCATAAAAGTTTGAGAAAATCTTATGCTAAAAATAAAGATTTGAAAACAAAAATAAATGATTTGTTGGAAGAAAACTCCAAACTGTTTCAAGAAAACAAATGTTTGAGAATGGAAAATGATGATTTAAAAAATCAAAAAAGTGTTTTTGATTGCAAAAATAATTTGAAAAGGAAGTTAGAAGAGAAAACAAAGTTTTATGAAAAAATGTTGGAGGAACAAAATGTGTTAAAGAAAAGAATTAATGACTTGAACGAGTTTCTCCAAAATGAAAAACAAAAGTTTTCTCAAACAAAAGAAAGCAAATCTTTTCAAGGCACAAATAAGTTTGCTATGATAAGAAGTAAGAAAATTAGTTGCATTAAATCCACCTATATGCAAAATACTTCTATCATGTGTAACTTTTGTTGCAAATTTGGACATATGCAAAATGATTGCTATGTAAAGAAAAATATGAGAAAAGGCATGAAATTCATGTGGATTGCTAGATCATGTCGTATTAACTCCCAAGGACCCTATAAAGAAAGGGTACCAAATGAAATTTCTCATATTTAGGCACATCATGATGATTTGATCCAAGAAGTGCTATATGGTTGTAAGTACAATTGAAAATTTTGATATTCAATATG